GGGGGGGCTTTTGACCTAGGGAGGCTTTAGGCAGGGGGGGCTTTCCGGGGGGGGGGCTCTTGACCTAGGGGGGGCTTTTGGCAGGGGGGGCTTTTGGTTGGGTACCGTTCTCAACCTGCGAAACCGTCCTGAGGGTTTTCTAGAAAATTCACAAATCATGCTTGATTAAATTGAAGATCCTAAAATGGATTTAAATGTACAGTATGTAATGCAAGAATAAGCAATTCCACTCACAAATGACAAAAACTTCTCAGATTTCAAGTATTATTGTCTTAAGGTGCTCGGTTCTTCAAAAACGGCTTCTGAACACAAATTTATTTCATAAAGAACTCTGCTAGTCAAAGTGTTTCAACTTCAAGTAATGGTAAGGAATATTTTTTGAATGCGAGAAAAATGGTAGTGTAACTGTAAAGAGATAGGCCGAAACTTGCAAGAAATGTATACCAGTCTTCAGCATAAGTCAGAACATGAAACAATGCAGCACAGAACTTCGGAGAAATTTCAAGGTGGTTCAATAACATTTTGCAATCACAGTAACGCCTTTATCTTGAGAATCTATTTTGTATTTTTTCTGTCCAAAAATGGGTACCCAACCAAAAGCCCCCCGAGGCCAAAAGCCCCTCCAGAAAGCCCCCCCTGCCTAAAGCCCCCCCTAACTTTTTTATAATATTTCTTTGAAGTGCTTTGAATTGAAATTTCTTTATTGCTGAAAAATTATATAAATTTACCTTGCCCATGCTCATTTTGAATTTGAAAGTGAATCTATGCTTGTACGTAGACTGGATCAACTAAAATTCATTTATTTCATATTTTCATTCATTTTGGAACACAAAGTCTCTTCAATTTCTTAGTTTTCAACAGCAATTTTTTGCGGACTAAGGTTTTCCACGTGAACAAATTTCACACTCAGGAGACCTTCAAATTGCGCCTGGGCATTTGTCCCAAAAAAAGGTTTGAAATCAGTGGAAGCCCAATATTTTGGTCAATTTGTTCCATCAATCTTTAAAAAGTAGGAAGCCAAAAAAGGAGAAACTGCGTACGAGTGCATGATCCCCCAGGGCCTCCAAAAAACCAACAGCACCAAATGAATTCATAGGGAAAATTAATTCATTAATTCTTACTCAATCCTACCACAAAAAACTAGGCAGGAATTTTTGCTCAAATGTGCGCCGCACTGGAGGGCGAGAGTGTGTCCCCAAAATGAGGACAATAACACTTTTGGAATGCAAATTCTTGCAAAAACCCAGGCCCTGCCCCAGACAAAGGACTCCAGGCGGACCCTTTTTTGGGGTCGGATCCCCCTTTTTTTGGGTGCATGAACTGCAGGATTACCTGCATGCACTTGTCCGCGGTAAGCAGATATTTCCCAGGCTTCCTCACCTTTCTCTTGAAAAAGACATGAAGTGAAGGTGAGGTTCTTTTGAGAAAGGTAATCCTTATAAACCTCTCAAGCCCTTGGAAGGAATTAAAACCCTTGCACTTTCACAATTTCAAAATCCACTAGATTTTTATTCCTTCCTGACAGTTGGAAGGGAAACGCACAGACAATGTTACAATTTTGTAGTACTCATTGGGATTTTTGGGCCATGGGATTTTTTCTCCTACAGGATTTCATCATGGAGCCAATAAGTGCAGCACATTATTTGCATTTATTCTTCCATGACCTTTGCTGAGTGGAAATCTGGCAGAGTATGTTTGGTGTCATAATGATACATTCTTCTGCGGGATCATTTGTGAGCTTTTTATTAATATTGCCACAGATTTTTTTGTCCAAGTTTGCAATGCGGAGAATCCTGTGCATAGAATGGTTTTTCTGGGATTTACATTGGAGTTTTCTTATTATTTTGATTAATAACACTATATGGACATGACTCAATTCTACCTTATTAAGAGAGTGGAAGAGTGACGAAGGAAGAAAATAGAATAGAAAATAAATGAAACATTAAATAGCTGACGTTAAGCGGACATATTGCTGTCCGATATTGCTGCTCTAAATATTGTTAGTTTATATACTGTAAAAGTGTAAATACATGTTCACAAGGTTTATTGCAGACAAAGACAAAAATTGGGATCAGAAACATTGTGTTAGCACAATCTTACAATTTCATCTGGAAGAATTTTAAATCAATTTTTCTCATATATTTTCAGTGCTATTGTAACGCTTGCAGCATGAAGATCTGGTAGAATTTACATGGTTACCTTCAGAAAATGTTGGAAAATTAACCCTGGAGTAGAGGAGAAGAATTAAAAACTTTCCGTCAAATTCCAACATCCACCAAATTGTTTTTGTCCAGTAAAATTTTTCAGCAATCACTCCAAATAAAAAGTGATCTGTACTTCAATGTACACCAAGATTATCCCTGCAACAAGCATATAGAGTCAATAACCCTGAATTTAGTGACAACACTCCATGACATAGTGCCAAAAATTTCCTTGGGTCAAATCTCCCTCTATTGTATTTTTAAGAGAAACCCTGACTGCCACAGAAATTACTCTTCTGATGGAAAAATAGGCCAAAATCAGAGAGATTAGGGCATATTTCTCAAAATATTATCAGGTAATTGAGAATCAGATTTCAATGCTCATGTGTTAGGGCAGGAATGATTGGCACATTGATACATTTCAATCTGTCAATCTAGTATGGCAGATTGACCAGAGCAGGTCCCAGACCCAGAGAGCTGTTGAGTGAAATGATCTTCAGGAAGAAAATTCATCCATTTTATACTGGGGTTCTTGCCTTTCCAATGAGAATCTCAGACACAGCAATGTTAAAGAAAGGGTTTTCAGTAGGTCTCATCCCCATTCAGACTGGAATCCAAAGACCATGATCCAAGGACTCAAGGCTGGGAAAGTAGGGGTGAAAGGAGACCCCTTTTTTCACCTCTTCTTTCTCAGCCTTGGATCTGAGTCCATGGATAATGTTCCTTGGATTCCAGTCCTAATGAGGATTAGACCTACTTAAAACCCTAACTTTATCCTTGCTGTGTCTGTGATTCTCATGGGAAAGGTAGAAAACTCAGTATAAAAGGGATTCATTTTCTTGCTGAACATCATTCCACTTGAAAGTTCTCTGGTGCTAGGATCTGCTCTGGGTTTCAGTTCTGTGTTTCATATCACAGCCTGAACCCTGGAAGCTATCCATCACAGTTGGTGTAAGGTTGTATTTCTTAGAGATGAGTTTTATCAAGCCTTACACCTTGATTCTGTCAGCAGAGTAAAGTTGTAGTGTTTTGATTATAGGTAATCAATTAAATTGAATGCAGCAATTGGCCGGGCGCAAACCGACCTGGGATTTCTCCCCTCTAGCGCAGACCTTTCTTTGATACACACACTCACAAATATAATCACACACACAGTTCATAAAAAAAAATGAGGTATGCACACTCAAACACACAGAAAATCAAAAGCAATCAGGATAATCCAAGTTGTAGGATTTCAAGTGGTCCAGAAGTGGACTTGAGTTCCTTTAAGATTAGTATTTTTTAACAAATTCAAGTTCCCAATCTGATAAAGTATTCATACATGGTTTTGAAAGGACAAACTAAAACAGACAAGTTCTTGACAAAAGTAGATTAAGACTGAGGGAGAGGCAAAAGTACTGAAGCCTCATATTTAAAAAGTGACAATGAACTTTTTGTAGAAAACTTAAATGAAATATAGTAGTACATTCTGAGATATGAAGTATAAAAGAATATTTGGGTCTTGCCTTTTTCTGCGTATATACTTGGATTGTTGCTATTCCTTGTAAAAACTACAGGACAAAGGTATAGGTTTGTTGAGAAATCACTTCCACACATCTGATGCACTTGAAAGTTGAACAATTAAATGTTTTGGGTACCCATACGGATTATCTGCATTAATTATTCTTCTGCATGATCATTTGATATTTTTATCCATTAGTCGAACAATTTTATTGTCCAAGTTTGCAATGCGTATAGAATCCTGTGCTTAAAATGGTTTACGTCGATTTACATTAGGGTTTTATTATTATTATTTTGAATAATAACACTATATTGACACAACTCAATTACAGAGTGTAAGAGTGACAAAAGGATTGAAACAAGAAAATGGAATATAAAAATAAAACATGTGATAGCGGATTTTAAGCAGCGCTTCGCTGATACAGCTGCTCTAAATCTTGTTAGTTTATACAAATTCATTTTTACAACGTTTAGTGCACACAGGTACAAAAATTGGGATCAGAAAGAAAAATGTCAGTTTTAGAGTGTTGACTTACACAATCAAAATCATACACCCAGATTCGCGTCCTGAGAATCTCGGCAAATCTGCACGCGAACCCCACTGTGCTTATTTGCGCACCCACCATCACTGGGTTATTGCGCAGAATAAAAAATAAAAATGGGTCGCCCGTTTTCTTTTCCACCTTTTCCTCCAGGATCGTGGACGCCTTCAATCCAATTAAGGCTGCAGTCAGTAATCGAGTACATTTTTGACGATTCAACAAAAACCAATTCATTCAAGGTCAATAAAATTGTCAGTTCTGCTGTTATGTATTGCAAGCGAGGTTACGAGTATCCCATGCAAAAAAGGTAGTTCAAGTACAGGGAAATAGAAAAGTGGTACACTTTCAAGTAATGAAATTCATCATCATTCAATTTTACGAAGCACGTGCATTGATTTTAAGCGCACTTTTCCATAAGTTTATGTGGTTATCATTGCGGAAAAATGAAAGGACAACAAAAGAGAGCCGTGTTAGCTAGGGTATATTCAAAACCGCCATTCAGATGAGAATATTGCACGCAAACGAAAATCGGCATTGTCAAAACTTTTTCAAACTCGAAATGGGTGAAAAATCTCGACTAAAGCAGCAGGCGTTCAACAACATAACCCATCAATGGAAAAATTCTGTATACCCAAGCCAGCTCATAATTCAATTCTGGATTTCGCCATTTCAAGTCATCCTTGGCAGTTTCCCGACGCACCAGGTACAAGAAGTTGTAGGACGCATAGGTGTGAACGCCGAATTTCAAGAAGAACTTATATACCTCTGGTGGACTTCTGTGATCAGATGGATTACCGCAGGTTAACCAGCCATCGCTCCTTCGGATTTCCGGAAGTGAATGACAGGCGTTTGCAGGAACATAGGGTTCCTCACGGAAACCAAAATCGAATAGCTTCTTCCACACCTTGTATAACTGCTTCGATCCTTCCTGAATGGCGAAGCAACAACAGAGAGAAAAAAACATTGAATTAACACAGAGAAGAAATAAAAGTAGACAGGAAAACAATTATACACGACAGGACGCTTGGACAGCATTTGACACCATGCATACGCGACATCTACTAACAATGGATTGAACTAACAGTCTAGCATGGGCCAAGGAGCCAACGGTCCAATTTTCTATTAATTTCCACTGCTTAGTATTCATCACTCCTTTCAATCAATGTAATTGGCAAAACATGTAAAAATTGTCTCTCACCTTATCTCCCGATTTGTTCTCGAAACGCAATATATCTTGTGGTGGGAATTCATCCCAGAATTCCTCAGAGAGATCTCCAAATGGAATTTGATCAAGCCCAAACACGGCGACTCCCCCCGCACCTAAGTCACACCGCTGATACTTCTCAGGAAGTGTTTTAATCTGTCTAAACACGAATAATCTCTGCGTCTTTTCCATGACTCAAATTCGAGTGATACCTGCATCCGAAGAATATATCAGCATGCTATTCGTCTTTTTCAATCTCCATCCAATGGAAGTATATTAGGCATTTAATAGGATTGTCGAAAAATTCTACGCATACAATCGTATATTGAACCAATGCTTTTGCAGATTCAGATGTTATAGAACTGCATTCCGATTAAGACACATACGTAATTGCGGAATTCCTTTCTTACACAGAATAAATATATGGCCATCAATAATCTTGACGATTTCGCGTTTTATTCATGCGAAGAATAGCATCAAATTTCTGTTCCGCCAGAATATCGTAGTAGATAATTTAATATCTTAGAAATTCAATACTTTACAGCGTTTCCATAATACCATAAACTATTTCTGTGGTTGTCATTATGCACTATGTAGTTCAAGTAAACACAGTTGAGTACACAGAATAGAATATATGCGCGATTATTTGAATTTTAAAAAATCAGCACTGTCTCAAAAATGTATTTCTTTCACGCAATTCAGGACACTATGGACAAACAACCCGCCAGCATCACGCAGCAATCATTATATATTTTTTCATTTGAAAAGAATAAAAGGAATACACATTGCATTCAAAAACAGAGAATCTTCCGCCAATACATTCGGCAGTCTTGCAGAATGGGGTACTGGACAGATGCAGTATTTATAAAGCCCTTAGCATGGGAAAGAAAGCTAAGGAAGAATGGACAAGACGAAAGTAAACTTGGAGATTATAAAGAGAAGGGATACATTCCAAGGACAAGTATTTGGGTTTCAACTTTTTCTGTGCATAACCTCGCCCGTTCCTATTTATATATTTTTTTGCGATTCCTGGTAACAACTATACACGAGTCAAGCTTTTGACCTATAAGGGGGCATTTGGTCGCGTCCCAAAAAGCAATTTGATATTGATAATGAAATTGACATGCATAGAAAATATCTGTAAAATTCTGAATCAGTTTTCCGGATATTTTCTCAAGTGGATCGGCAAATTTTAAAATTTCATCCTCAACTTTTCTCTCCAGACTTCCTTCACCTCTCATCACCTTAATTTTTTTTCACATCTCATTTTACAATTGAGCAAACAAATTCTTTTGACTGACAATCTTCAAAAAGAAAGACTTCAAAAGAAGATATTTCGCCAATTTAAGCCGCGGAATATGCTGATCCAGAGAAAATACGGATGGAGTATTTAAAGCATTTCTCAGGGAAAAGAAAGCTCTGAAAGACGAAGGACACTAAAAGGTACACTAGGAGATTAAAGTGAAAGCGATTGTACATATTTGGGTCTCGCACTTTTTCTGCAAATCTCATGGTCATCCCTGCATTGCTTATTCACGATTATTCCTGTTGACAAATAATATGCGACGATGAAGGACATCGGTGATGTCAAGTTTCTTGCCGCGATGGACACTAAAAAGTTGAACAACTGACTGAATTGTAATACTGTATCTTCAATTCAATGAAAAAAAAGATTCCAATTAGAGATGGACTATACTTTCAATAATCTTGTGCACGCCAATCGTACTGATTTTAGCGCGTTTCCATTGAACAGAGGATTACCATAAAAGTTTCCGGCCATAAAATATTTTTAAATCATTGATATTTTAAAAAGGTTTGAAATTCGATTTTCATAACTGGTATTGCAAGATATGTTAAAAAAAAGACTCGAATTCATGCTCATCTCTAATATGCATTGATATATTAAAGAATTGATTTGGTATTTCGGGGTTAATTTACACAATGTAACAAAAGTACCTCTGATTTTTCACTGCTCCATTTTAACTCTCTTAAACTGTTCCCATCTAATTGCAACTGATTTCAATACACAGTTCTATATTTCTGTTCTGCATGGCGGGAATTTATTATTAATCCATTTAGAAACTGTTTTGAGATTTTTTTGTACCAAATTGGATACAATTGTTAGTATTATCATGTTATGATATAATATATTATAGATAGATTAACTAATATAATGTCATAATCATCTCTTTCCGCGGTTCGTCACCGCAATACCATTGTTTCGAAAATATAAATCAAATTGTACTTGTGAGAGGTCAGCTGTGATTTTTCAAACTTAAATTCAATCACAAACTTCGAAATATTTTCTCAGGAATGATTCAAGACACTCTTTAAAAATATTTCGTCCTGATGACGCCAGTAGCTCACGCAGGCATTTAAATTTTCTAACTTGAAAAAACACTTTTTTTCGAAGGGGATGCACATTGAATTCAGTAGACCATCTTCCGCCGCAAATTCAACAGGGCAAATGACACAGAGAATTTAAACCCCTTGCCTCGGGAGAGAAAGCTTACGCAAATGAAGGACACAGGAAAAAGTACAAAGGGATGCTAAAGGGAAAGGATTTTTGCTGCTGTGGGTCTTAACTTTTTCTGCGATATTCTCATGGTCATTCCTATATTATTTCTTTCTGATTCCTGGTAACAACTGTGCGACGATGAAGGACATCACCGCTGATGGTGAAAAAGGACTACAGTGTTTTAGCTAAAATGCAAGATTTCTGAGAAGCCTATTTAATGGGAACCCAGACCATCTTCAATCTTGTGTTTGTCAATTGGGGTGCAGGAGAAAATCCCGTGGGAGAAAAAATCCCGCGGCCCAAAAATCCCGTGAGGCCAAAAATCCTGTAGGCCCAAAAATCTCGCGGGGTCCGAAAATCCCGCAGGTACCAAAATCCCGTATACTTCAAAAATTGCAATGTTTTCTCCGAGTTTTCCTTCCAAATGAAATGGTGAAAGTGTGGGGGTTTCCTTCTAAGGATTATCCAAGGTTTAGGAATTACCTCTCTCAATAGAACCTCAACTCCACCTCCTCACCTTTCTCCCAAGGAAACGTGAGAAAAAATTAACCTTCATTTGGATCAGGACTTCACCCCTGTATTTGTTTCACATTTCCAATTATTTTAAGCTCTACTTTGTCATCAAAACATGAATTTTTACATAAGAAAAACCTCCTTTGATATCTTTATATGCGTTGATGGTCTGTAAATAATTTTGCACACTTTCACCATTTCATTTGAAAGGAAAACTTGGAGAAAACATTGCAATTTTTGAAGTATACGGGATTTTGGTACCTGCGGGATTTTCGGACCCCGCGAGATTTTTAGGCCTACGGGATTTTTGGCCTAACGGGATTTTTGGGCCGCGGGATTTTTTCTCCTACGGGATTACATCATGGAGCCGTCAATTGTACCGATTTTCGAGCAGTGTTTTACAATTTTACAGAGGTATACAGCCCAAGTTTTTTGGCAAAGAGCATTATTTGTAATTTTTTACATGAATGTAATGTTTATAATTTGTATAGAAATAATTTTTTGCAAAAAGATTTCTATACAAATTATTAAAATTAAAATTCATGCTCATCTGTATGCAGCGTAAATAAAGAATAGATTTTGCATTGGTCATGAAGTTACACAATATGTAATGAAGATACCTCTTTAATTTTTCACTGCTCCACCTTAATATAATCTAAAACTTTTTCCATCTAATTGCCATACTGATTTCACTTAATACGCAGTCCTATATTTTTCATGATTATATGTATTCCATTCAGTAGCTGGTTAGATTTTTTGTGAATTTTTCGGTATAATGGTATGAAGGAATCAGAAAGTGAAGAAACAGTTTTATGACCCATGTTTGATAAGAAAAAGAAAATGGTAATTTGATAAGATCTTTACAATTTCTAAAATGTTCAGACCTGAACTGAATGACCAAAGCCACACTTTATGCTCTCTATAATCAGGTTATTGGTTGTTTATGGGATACATGGGAAACATGTTTTGCATCTGGGGATTTCTGTGATCTAAAACTTTTGTGTACTGTATATAAGACTCTACAGTTTGGGGGGAAAATGAAAAGCTCTAGTTTTTATATTTTTAAATTTCTCAATTATTTTAATTTCCAACCACATGCATTTTAAAGATCTCTGTGTGGCAAAGAAGAAAAAATAAAACTATGCCTCAATACAAAGTCATCATCAGTTCCATGTCAAGTTTGTTATTATAACGTGGTCAAACAAATTTTGGAAAGCTACATGGAATGCCTAATCCATGGCTTATGACTTTTGAACTTCCTTTGTAAGTAAATATCTTTTGTAATTTCATACCGTATTTTAAACATGAAATATATCAAATACGCCCACATCAGCAGAAATAAAGACATAGAGAACAGTCCTCCATGAAAAAGCTTTCTGCGCTGAATCAGTGAGGTTAAAAAGACTTTTAAAATAACAACCCCTTCAATAATATGCAAAAAGTGGAGCCAAATTATATTCCAGGGTGCCACACTCGCTTCTTCAATTCGGATTTGTAAAAACGTAGGTTCCTAGGAATAAAAACATTCAACAGGTGGAAAACAGAGATTTACGCACAAAATCAGCGCATTTAAAGGTCTCATTCAAGAAGACATTTGAGACTACCCATCCAGTTGCAAAACAAGGTTGATCACTTGCTGGGTTGCGATTCTTCGGTTGCCTCAATAATTCTTGTCCAGTGGTTGGGGTGCCTGATTCATTGTCTTCTGCTGCTGCTTCACTCATTTTGATATTGTGGCAGCGAGTTCTGCAGCAGCAGGTTCCGGGCTTCCTGCTTTGCAAGATACTTCTTTATCTGTAAGTTGTTACTTATTGAAGTCATGTAAGACCGTATCCCCACGGAAAAGTTCCAGGTGAACAATATCGGCCTCCTCGTAGAGGTGCGCTATCCACGAGTAAAATCGGGATGAGGACTCGTATGAAGCTGGGTTGCTGATGAATGTCAAACCAGAAAATTTCAATCTCACTTTGAATCGTTTTTATTACATCTGCGGGTTCTGCCAAAATTGGACCTCACTATGAAAAGTCAAGCACATTGTGTTGGTTATTGAAGAATTTTTGTCAATTCAGTAATTGAGAAACATTTTGTTCGTCTGCATCGTGAGGAATTTATTGCGCTCAAAAAATATTTGTTTATGATGTGTGAATTGCATTTCAGATTGGAGTAATGTACCTCTGATCAAAATATAATCGACCTTAATAAATGCTAATCCCGAATTTCTTCATGCAAAATATTTTCAGTCATCAAGAACCTATTCTTTCAATTCTAAAAGTGGGTCAGAGCTCTCAGATGAAAGAATTCTCATGTAACAACATTCTCATCCATCATGGCGGAACAGTTAGACAGTAAATTGATTCTAGTAAGGAGTAAATTTATTAAAGGAAATCTTTGTTTATTCTACACCAAGTAATCTTTTCCCTTCGCTGAAGAAATGAACAAGTGACAAAAGAACGTCAAATTGAATTCAAAGAGGAAATTGTGGATAGAATGAGAAAGAGAGCGCACTTGAGTGAGCATCATAATCATCACACCTTTCCTTGCGCGAAAAATCAGAAAGATGTCCCAATTCTCAAGATTAATCACTTGCCATATTTTTCCAGCTCAAGATGATGATTTCTAAGCGATTAAATGCTAATTGAAGTTGAAAACATAGGTCCCAGGGCTAAAAGTACAGCCAGAAAAAGATAATGAAACCATTGCTCGCGTTTTCTCATCATCAGCTTCGGTGGTTCTGATCAATTCTTCTCTTGTTGCAAAAGTTGTGGTCGATTTGTCCTGCTTCATTTCCGCATCAGTAATTATGAAAGGCTCCGCCGGCGGTGTTTTCCCGGCAGATGGGGTGACTGGTTCCTTCTGCATTCCTGATGCGTCCAGCTGGGATTCAGCGGATGCCTTTTCTCTGTTGGACATTTGCGTGGGAATTTGCTGCTGAATTTCCTCCCAGATCGCTTCATCCCGGCTTAGGTACGAGATCCCTTATTCGTTACCAGACAATGAACGCAGACATGATGGTACAGTTTCGAAACATTTTGAAGTTCGGTTTACCCGCGAATAACCAGCATGCATCGTTCACCCTGATCATTCCTTTACATTGATCGGAGATAATTTCCTCCTGAAATCCCCAAGCTTTCAACAGCGCCAGCGCCTAAAAAGGAAAGAAAGAAAGAAGCAGGAAATGAATGAACTGAATGATTGATCGACTATACTATACTTTTGTCATTGAAAGGCAGACAGGCTTGGACCTCATGCTCAAGCGACATCTTCTGCCAGCGGAAATAACTGACCGTTCAGGAATTATTAGTTCATCGTTTTTCTAGATGTCGCATCATGATACACGATATTAAGCAATTGTGCAAACAATCTAAACTTTATTGATGAATACCCTGCAAATCATGTCGGCTTATTACGAACATTCGTTCATGCGGTAAAGTCGTCAAGTAAAATTAAATTGCGCATTTTTCTCTTAAATCGAAACCAGCAGTGTTGTCAAAATGCAGTGGATCCTCTGGTGGAAAATCTCTCCAGAATTTGTGGGGCATGTCTCCCAAAGGAATTTTTGTTAGTCCAAAGATGGCGATTTCCGGAAGGGTTGGGGAACCACCAAAAAGTTCTCTGACCAAGCACAACCGCTGTATTTCTTTCATGACCATTTTAGATTAATCGTCGATATTAGGAAAACAAAAGTGTTGCAAACATTAAAGGCTCATGTCTTCATGTCCATCAAATTTTTGGTGAACAAAAGGAAATTGTATAATCATCACGTAAACTGGTTATAAATCGACCTATATACATAACGAACATGATCACAGTATACTGTACTGAAATCACGCATGTTGATGTTGAGAAAACGAGAGAGGAAACCCATCTGATGATTCAGTAGTACGATTTTATTTGATTATCTTTAAAGTACAGTACTTGGGAAAATTAAAGGCCACAGAATATTACAGTATATTCTGGAATTGAGAAACTGATAAAAGCTCTTGATTAAAGGAATTTCCAAGCAGTCTGTCCTGAACTCTTGAAGGACAGTCATTTATTCTAAATTATTCAAAAACCAAGCAACACACTTGTAAATATAAAATTGCAATCAATTTCAAAGCAAATGGGGGGTTTGGGTTTTTAAGTTGGTCACAAAAACTGTGACAACGTCTGCAGCTTGAATCTTGGCTCTCTCTCTCTCTCTCTCTCTCTTATTGTACAGTGGGTAACATATGAATGAAATGTCTATTGATCAAATAAATTAGCTATAATTCAGTACAGTATAATGGAAATTTAGAAAACTCGATTATATGGAATCCTGTCGTGAATTTTGAGTGAAAAATCAGTAACCTTTTTATTTTACCAAAGTTATGCAAGCAAGGTTATTTTATATGAAGATAATTAGTCCATCCTTCCTCTCCATTCGTGGATTTTGAACATAATCTCGGATTATATCCTGCAAAAAATAGAGACGTGGTACAATATAATTTCACGAAGCAGGTGATGGAGTGTTTTTCATCGTACTTTTCCACATGTGGATATCATCACGACCAAATGATTGTATTTGTCTCCATCGCGACAAAATGAACGCACAATAATTCATATGAGAATATTGCACGCGAAAAAGGTAAACAATGTCAGCTCTGTTTTCAAAAATCTCTAGTCAAAAATACATTTTATATACAGTCAACGCTCAATTGAAAAAAAAAAATTAAGACCCCGTCCAGCGAAATGATTTGATTTGACACGTTTGATTCTTCACTTTTGAATTTTAAAAACGTAGGTTCCAGGGTATAATGTACAGTTGTTGAACAGGATCGATCCCATGGGTTGCGATGCTTCCGGCCCGAGTTCTGCATTAATTTGTTCCACCTTCTGCGGCGTTTCTCCGCTAGATGGAGTGTCTGCTGGTTCCTCTTGCCTCGTTGTTGCTTGATTTGATGCCGCAGCACTGATGTCGATTGTCGACGAAGGTGCTGAGGTTATTCCTTCTTCGGGTGATGCTTGTTTCGCCGTTATTTCCTGCTTCAAGTCCTCTTGGGGCGTTTCCCCTCGGATAAGCTCCAGATAGACGAAGTTTAAAGTGAACGATTCGCTGTGAACAAATGACCACAAACTTCTATTATACCGCCTGAACTGCTGGGGAGTACCCGAAACCCAGCCATCCTCCCTCATCCTTGGTCGGACATAGACTGGACGCCATCCTCCGAGGTTGTTAGAAAAGGGATTCCGATCTCCCATAACTAAGGGAGCCTGCCGAAAATCCCATGCGACTAGCTTCTTCCACACCTTATACGCCTGGCTTGCTTCCTGAATGACAGAGAAAGTACTGTATAACAAAGAGAGCAAAAATACTGAATAAACCAGACGGGAAAATGATGGACACTCGACTCTTACGCCCAACAGTGGAAACCATGCGTACGCAACATCTGCCACCGACAAAATGAACTGATGGTCTAGTACTGCCCAGCAAACAATGAGGGCATGACATCATGCATGACCCACTAGTGCCTAACTAAAGATGGCATTTTCCAGGAGGGGCATGATGAACATGCCCTTACAGAAAGCCCTCATGCCATGACCATGGGCATAGCCCAGCAAACAATGAGGGCATGACATCATGCATGACCCACTAGTGCCTAACTAAAGATGGCATTTTCCAGGAGGGGCATGATGAACATGCCCTTACAGAAAGCCCTCATGCCATGACCATGGGCATGATGAACATGGGCTTCCCATGGACGTCCTAATAGCCATGATCATCATGTAGTCATCATGGGTTAGCACATGCCCCTGATCATGGGCAGCCCATGTTCATCATGCCCTTCATTATTGCCTACCCAACTAAATGTAAAAAGTTTGAAATTTACTCAAAAGTAGAATTTATTCACAAACAAAAGTAAATACATTCAAACAAGACAAGTTTTTCAAGAAATTGACAGCAATACAAAACTGAGCAGACACAATAAGTTACATTGGAACATGCACTTATTTGAAACTAAAATCACAGAACAAGTCTAAATTACTGTTATTCTTTAATGAGCTTTGAAGCAAGAGTCTGTTTATCATTCTTAACAACATTTTTGAATACTATAGGTCATTAAATGATTCCAATTTTTTTTTGAAAATGAATGATACAAAGAGTTTAAAGAAACTATAACAGCTCTGCCTCCAACACATGAACAAAGTGAATATTTTCTAAACCTTTAAAGAAATTAGCACTTTTAAAATGGCTCAAACACAATAAAATGCCAATACATGCAATAAATTGTAAGATCTCCAGGCAGCAAATGATGAACCCCACTCTTCCTGATGCAGTGTGTATCTTCTGTCCAGTGGGTCCATGGGGCTGGCTTTCTTCCTTCTGAAAAACAGAGAACATGGTGCAATTAGGATCACATACAACACTCAACAGTACTTTTGAAAATTAACCCATTCTTAAATTTTGAAAGAAAGCTACATAGTTTCTACTACAAGCAACAAGCTTCATACTTCTTGCAAGGCTAAATTCCCTGAAAAAGAGATTATCATTCCATTTTATAAAAAATTTTGTATGCTGTGCAAGTTGGATATTCTAGATTTTTGTTTCTATAGGTAAAAATTTCTATAGTCCATGCACAATCAAGTCAAAAATTTTGTTGTACAGAGACTATTGAAAAAAATAAGCTTGTTAGAACAAAGTTTCTTCAACATTCTTCAAATGAAAAACCTGCAGGGACTAATGAAAAAAAATCCTTACTTAGTGGTAGAGTCCATTTTTTGCAGGCACAAAAAAATATTTGCACAGGCCCTGAATTCCAGCAATGAGTCATCTTCTTTCTGTAGATCCACCATCTTCACCTGAAAACCAAAAGAACATACTTTAGTTATGTTTTTTCTTGAGAAAATCTTGTCAACTACTTGTGTTTCTTTGAAGTAATCCAACAAGACAAGTTTTTCATGAAATTGACAGCAATAAAAAACTGAGCAGACACAAGATAAATTGGAACATGCACTTTTTTGAAACTGAAATCACAGAAAAAGTCTACATTTCTGTTATTTTATATGAGCATTGAAGCAAGGAGTTTCTTTCTAATTCTTCACAACATTTTTGAATACTGCATGGGTCATGAAATGATTCCTATTTTTATAGACATAAGTGATATAAAGAGTTGAAAGAAAACTAAGGGCTCCACATCCAACACATGAATAAAGAAAGTATCTTCAAAACTTTAAAGAAATAAGCACTTCTAAAATGGTTCAAACACTAAAAAATGCCAATACATAGAATCAATTACAATATGTCCAGCAAATGAACACCCTTCTTCCTAACATGAATAAAGAAAGTATCTTCAAAACTTTAAAGAAATAAGCACTTTTAAAATGGTTCAAACAGATTTTTTACGGTTATGTATCTTAGTTAATGTTATACAGGTCGTTTACTTGTGGGAAGAAGGACTACCTCATCTTTAGAAGACAGGTCCACCAGGTACGTCCACTTAACGGAGGAAGACGTTTTGTCAGAGCATGTTGCAATTAAGATTCAAGAAATAAAAACTGAAGGTAGTTTCTGAAAAGTTCTGTGAACAAATTTGAGTGGGAATCAAATAAAAACTATTTTGGCTGTTTTCAAAAATGCAGGGAGAAATGTAAGTTTACAAAACAGGCACACGATACTTGCAATACTGCTGGGATATAATCAAGTAAATTTATTCTAATTTCATAATTTATTGTAAATTTTCAGAATATGTCTTGAATTAGTTCACATAGTTTTTGCACTGTTTCTTGGAATTTAAAAGCATTTTAGAAGGCTTTCCAAGAATATCTAAGGTATAATAAAATCTGGTAATGGCAAAGGCTCCAAGTTTGTGGTTAAACCAACAAAATATGAGGCAAACCAACTGACTGTTGGGCAAGGGATTAAGGTTCATGCAGAAGTGTAGCCAGGGCATGAGTTTGCTTACATCTTAATTATATACTGACAGCTGCTGTCCTGCTCCAAGAATTTGAATGATTCAAAATTATGAACTGTGTGCTTTTAAAACTTGCCCATCTGCATAACTAGACAATAGGGAATCTCACCTGCATCCAGATGAAAGGTTCTACCCTTGAGTCCTGCCTTTTTGGGGGTGGAGACTCAAGTGGGTGGGACCAGTTATACACTGATCCAACCAGGCCAGGGCACATGTCTCAAAATACAGTCCTGCCAAATCTTTTCTCCATTTTCTTTTTTCAATGCAGTTTCTGTTGCAACAATTCCTGAATGGGTATAGAGGAAAAAGGAAAGTCAGCACTGTACTTCTTTGTATAGCACTGCCTAGCATTAAAAAAAAAATTGTATGCATCCATGGCTGAAAATTCAGTTTGATTTCATGCTTAAGCCATGTCAGCACGCCCCAGCTTGATATAATACTCAAGTTGTACTTCATCTGACTGAATATGAGTCATGATCTTCTTAGTATACTTGTCAACCAACCTAAAGATCCAAGTAACCAAAGCAAAGAGCGTAACATAAAAAAATTTCAGTCTTCCAACATTATGTGAGTGCAGATAGAAGAGAATGTAAAAATGAAAGTACTTTGGGAAGAAGCTACAACAAGGAAAAATTTATTTCACCTTGTCTCACAATGTCAGCCATGCTTTCCACAAACTGTGATAAGTCCTTGATGTCTTTGGCAGTTTGTAGCACAACGCCGACAATCACATCCACGTCAGCACCATTCCAAATGGGACACAAACCAGTCCATGGAGATCTCCAGTACTTGAAATATGAATGTAATCAACACATCAAAAACATGCTCATTTATCTTACAAGGGGAGAGAAATGAGAAAATTACCTTTAGAAAGAGATGGATCTGTTCCTCCCAACTGCACTTCTAATTCAATGTTCAATTTCTCAATTTCTTGTCTTTTGGCATCCAATAAGTCGAACAACTTCTTTATCATGAGCACTTTGCCATCTTCCTTCAATTCAACAATCTCCTGTCCATTTTCACTCGCTGCCGAACTCTGCCCGAAGTCAAAAATTCTTCGGGAAATTTCTTTGCACTGCCCCCAATCCAGCCCAACGTTTCACATCAACCACCTGAAATCTCCGGCTGAGTTTCACAACTGCAAGAAAATTTTCCGGATGTCCAACAGTAGCAGCATCCAGAACAAGCTGAAAAAAGGAAAATATTGTAAGCTTAGCATCGATGGAGAAAAATTTCTTCATGGATTTCCACAATAAAAAACCAAAATAATGCTCAATATTAAAAATGATTATAATAATGATGCATGCATCATTACCAATTGCTGTTGCAAGTTGGTTGCAGAAATTTCCCACTACACTGGCACTTACATCATTTTCTGGCAATGGAGGATCACCACAATCTTGGAAACAATGAGCATTATCAAAAGCCATGAACTGCAAGGCATCCAACGTCTTCAGAATGTAAAGCATCGATGGAGTAAGTATACTATATGCGCGTTTCCGTAATCCTTCAACACTTGTGCAAGCTAAAAACAAAAAAAGTTCCATCCAGTCAGAATTGTAAAGCTTCTGACAATTTGGCAGAACAGAGATGATTGTACGCACCCACAAATTGAAATTATTGCAGTATAGGCGTCATATATTGTTCTTTATTTCACCAGCTACAGGAACATACCTGAGTGCAACAGCAGGAACCAACTTCTTGAACAAAAGCTCTGAGCAAATTATAGAATGATAAATTTCCACTCAAAGAAAAATCCATGACATGCTCACCTGATGGATGCCCAACGGACGAGAAAGAATACTATCCAAGTCTGCCGTGAAATTGTTTCCAATCAATGCCGGCAACTGCTATGAAATTAAGTAGAATACACGATTTGTTGCCTGCCAAGATACAACCTTTAATCACCAGTATGCGTAATTGAGGCATTTCTTTTAGCCTGTAGAAACAAGCTCCAGAATGAATCTGAAAGGCACACAAAGTTTTCAACAACTATACAGCATTTATTCCAGCATTCGCCGAAGCAGTCCAAAGCGGGAGGCAAGCCAGTTTCAGTAGCATGTTGACGGAGTTCAATCCACTTGCTTGCACAACTTTTGCATCCAGCAGTTGGTTTTGCCAGAATAGTCAGCAAATTTAGCTTTCAACATTCACAGCAAGACGGAATTCTAACGCAGCACTCCAGCAAACAACTCTGACCCAATGGACGCGAGGGAAAAGGGGTGGTTGAATCTATGGGAGCCACCATGTTCTTCACCTCTAACATCTGTGGCTCCCTCTTGCCACTCAGTCCTTAAAGTCCACGTCATGGGCTTGGCATGGGGGAAGGAGTGCCGGTCTTTCAACTCGCACTCCTTGACACCCTCCGCACTACTAGTACCACACACAGTGATCCCTCTTGTGTGGTACTAGATCATGCCTTTGGCTCCCACGCCCTCATTGTTTGCTGGGCAGGAAGCCCCACCGTAGCCAAGCTTCGAGAAGAAAAACATTCGGAAAACGACTCGTCATTCAAGTCGAAGTTCTGAGATGATGCAATGAGACCCAATGTGCGTACGACAAAAACTATACGGATGATACTCAGTCCTTAAAATCCACGTCATGGGCTTGGAATGGGGGTTCCTCACGGCCAGAAAGTTGAGCGTGAGGAACTGTGGGAGGCGTGATGATCATGGTGTGTGTCACTAGGGAGAACACACCATGATCATCATGCCTTTGGCTCCCACGCCCTCATTGTTTGCTGGGACTGCTTCTGAAATTTCTCGAGGTTTCATGATGGTGAATAGACGAAAATATTGGAGCTGTGAATTTTTGAAGATTTTCGATGTGATTCTCGGAAATTTAACTGATCTCCAAAGCTTGTCGAGAATTTTAAAAAGTTCAGGAGCAAATACCAATTTTAGTCTGAAGTCCAAGTGAAACACAACGATGACGAAGTCTCAACTGAAAAATTCAGAATGACTCCTTCAAAGACTGCGCAACAGAACTGAGTAGGTTTTGCGGGGATTCTTCTTTCTGTCGCGAATTGTTTTCGAACTTCAACTGACATATATTTCAACTTCAAAAACTTGTCGTGAAAAGCACTCATTCGTTTGTAATTGTCGAAGAAGGGGACACAACAATCCTGTTTTGGAGTTTTATGGAATTTAGGCCATTGAAACGGTTTTCTAGAAAAAAATGTGAAAAGAATTGAATAAGTCGAAGAAATGCGTCGGCATCACTGAATAATGCCTTCAAAACCCGTTATGCAATGATGTTTTATGCGCTAATCATAATTACATGAGTCGGCCAATATATTGGTTCGTTTGAAAACCAAGCATTCTTCGATAGTTACATACCAATACGGTATTACACCAAATGATGTGCGACTTCTTTCCATTTCGAATTTCGCAAACGTGTTCAATTCTATAATCAACTGCATTACAAGCAAATGCAGTCAGGTGAAGTCTGATTCGTTTTTACCATTTTCAAATGAGGCGTACGAGTACGACTACAGTAATGCAAATACGTTAAAAAATGGAGACATACGCTTTCTCATCGATTTTGCCAAGCAGTGGTTTCAATGAAAAAAAAACACCAAAAGGCTGGATTGCAAAATTACCTTAAATACAGTATCCATGCAGGAGTTCCGCCGATAGAAGCTGTTCTTCATCCGGTGTCCCAAAAACTAGCTATACAAGTGAATCCATGATTTTTTTTTTAAACGCACGATTCTTCGTGAAAAATAGACTCAATCGAAACTAAACAAATTTTAAAGGGCTTTAGAAAGTAGAGACATCGAGAACCAATCTGTTATTCTAGCATAAACTAAACATGAAACAGGCGTCATAAACACATCACGAAAGCCTGAAACGTGTGTTGCGCATATAAAATGCAAAGGATATTATGAAAGATTGTCTTGAAAAATTGATTAGAAATTTAGAACTAACATTTTCCGGGGACAGCAATAATGCATATACATACATATTGAAAAAGAACTCATGAGTTGAGCAATGAAATCGTGCAACTATCTATGCCAAAGTGGCACTATTTTTGAGTAGTCTAACTTGAAAATCAGATGAATTCGTTGTACGAATACCCTAATACTCTACTGAATGCATTGCAGTTTAGATTCCAGTTTTTGTGTGGTTAGGTGATAGTACTCCAAACAGACAATGACTTCATCCTGTTATATTTCAACGCAGTTCCGCCTCGAACCATTGAGCAGATCCATTCAAAGTATCGTATCATAACTAGAATTGACGAATTTTCACAAAGCGAACGACTAAATTCAGTAAAAATCAATGCACGGAGTTCACGCAAATCCTTCGCACCTTATTAGAGTACGGATAGCTGTTTTCCGCCCATAAGCTGCACATCAAGAAATCATCACACCAGTAATGCAACACGTATTAAACGAGTCTTTGATGTACTTGTTTCATCCCTTATTCATCTTCAACGCAAGCACAAAAACCACTCATAACTTCCAAACGCTCGCATATTAATTTTATCTCTAAAGAAAATTTCCATTTAGAAATTTCCGAACCAATTTCGTAATCTCTTCAGAAAGGTGGTCAAAATCCAGGCCTTATTAGTCGGTTCTGGGTCTGTCATTGTGGGTGCGTTCAAGCATCTATCAGCGTATCGGCAGACGAAGGAAGCATGTCCATCATAACTCAAACTGCTGGCAATGGTTGTCAACTTGGTTGGTTCTGTTAAATTCGAAACTACGGTTTTCACTCCAACGATTGCTGCGATGGGGGATGCGTAATTGATGACGACTGGAGACCCGAATACTCCCTGAAACAATGAATACGTATTTCTTTCAAGCTTTGTCACAGTATTCATCTTGAAAAAGAGAGAAAAAATCTCATATGTAGATATAATCATGAACAATATTTTGAAAAAATAACTACAAAAATGCATGATGTACAGTACAGTACAAAAATTTACAGGATCTAAGAAGGAATCAATGAACCAAAAGAACATTTGTCACATGCTGCGTATCACTCATTTGTGGAAGTACAGTTGACCCTGGATAAGTCAAACCTCCCAAAGTCGAATATTTTTCAAGTCCCCATCTGAATTTCCTTAGAAACAATCTACAATATTGAAATCCTCCCTATCTCGAAAGCTTTTCCTATCAAACCTCCGTACTTTAATTATCTGAGGCATTTTGGCAAATTTTTTTTTGACACATGGAACAGAAGAGCAATATAACAAGTACTGGTAGATTATAAATGAGTTTTGAAAGAAAGTGACATACTGATTCGGCAAATGAACCAGTGCTTCACAGTTCAGCATGCTATAAACTTATCTATAAGAAGCAATTTAAGGCTAGCAATATTACCATTTGCAGTTTCCTTCAATTCTTTCATGTTTCCCACAACAAAAATGCAGGTTTCCAAAACTCAAAACCTCCCTGAGTCAATCTTTTTTTTTGCTGGTCCATTGAAATGTTGACCTGGATGGAGAGGTTTGACTGTCCCTTCCTTTCAAAACACATTGGTGAGAAACTAGAAGAGAGAGAAATAACCATTTCTGATAAAGAGCGCGCTTCTGCGCCGGCACTAGAGTTTGTGTAACTACCAAAACCGGCAACAGCAATAAATTTACTGTTGCCAGGGCAATAAAAACAGCATCGGAACCGGGTCTTAAAAACCTGACTCCAAAACTGTGTTTTGGCAGGGAAAATCAAAAAAATTGCTCTTCTCACAGGAAAAGGCATAAACCAAACACCAGGCAGCTGGGAACTCAGAAATTGGGTTCTCTATAACCCAATTTCAAGAAAGAGGTGATCTCTTTCCCTCCTTCTCTCTTCCCATATCCACTCATTAACAAATTCACTATTTCCCACTTTGTGGGAACTGTGCATAACCAGGACCAGATTTTGCCTAACAAATGGGGAGAAAACCCCATTTGAAATGCAGGGGAATGATGATTTACTGATCATCTTGTTAACCCTACCTGCAACCATCCTTCTGGACAATTTTAACACACCCGGCCAATTATTTTCAAACAGGCATAAAAGGGACCTGAAGCCCCAAGAAATTTATCAGACTGTTTCAAGAAGTAAACCACATTGGACAAACGTTTTCCACTGCCAAAGAACTCTCTGCAAATTTACTTGTGTTTTCTCTTGCAAGAAGAATTTACCCAAAAGTGTTTGTCAAAACTTTGAATTGAACTGTTTATTCCGCCTATTGTGCTGACAAAAGTACAAGTTGCGCGTATTTTGGGATTTCAAATCCCTTAGGTTGGTTAGGCACTGACCAATCGCCAAGTTCCTTTTTTCTTGTCAAATTCCTTGATCCTCTCACCTGCACAAAACTTGAGGTGCGACCCTCGATTTTGCACAACATTAAGTTATTTGTTTGATTGTTTTTATCTTTCGTTTGTCAAAAAAGAAATTAGAAGAAACTTTCCAATGATTGACGTTTCAGGAAAAAATTTGACGTTCTTGCGAATTCTACACACCTTCATAATAGATATAAAAAAGAATCAAACTGTAGATTTTCGGACTTCTTTCACTAGATTTTACACAAAAATGTGAATATACCTCTAATATTTCTAGAAAAAGTGGATTTCGTTTTTTTCCCTTACTACGTCGTCTACGTTGGAGGCGCTGGAATCTTGCAATTTGAAGCACAGGGACCATTGGAGACCCACGAATAAAGAACTGCTGCATTCCACGCCGACATAACTCGCGTGCTGAAGCTCAGCACCGTCTAGGAAATTAAGAGGATACGATTCAGAAATAAACGCAAAATGGTTCTCCATCTGGACGAAACCGTGTATACTTACTTTCGGTGCGAGTCCAGTCTAGGATCGTGACACCTTGTCCGATGTACGTGGCTCCGGCATTTTGAATAACCGGAATGGTTTTCACAGTGACACCTAAAACGGCATCTGAAGGTAGGTACAGAATCGCCGGTTGATTTTTAATGACTTGATCTGCAGAAGGGTTTTCGAAGTCCAAGACATAGTC